TATATAATGTTATTTATGTTGCACCTTGATCCGAGAGAAACTCATTCTGCCTTGCACAGAGATGTTTGGTAAAATGACAATAAGCTGGATTGATTTTTGTGTTCATAATATCAGCTTAAATTTTTTTCATTGATTCATTTTTTACATTTCCGTGTTTCAGGAGTCATATGTGTGGAAGCTATACCAGGAGCGATGCTGGGACTTCTTCCCTGCTGGAGACTGCTTCAGGAAGCAGTATGAGGATCAGCTGGGATAACGTCCTGCAATGTGAACATCTGAAGGAGAAAGAGAAGAAAGGAGAGAGGAGAGGAGAGGAGGGGAGAGAAATTCTGAGAAGGGAAAGATTAGAAATGTAGAGATCAAACACACCTTTGTCTTAGTTTTGTCCTTTTGTCTGCACATTTCTCCCCTCCGTTGAAGCTATGCACACTTCGACTGCACTGTTGTACCACCCGCAGCAGAATGTCCATGGAATAGATTTGAGAAAAGCAGAAGAGAGGCCTTTTTTATTCCACTAAGAATACACTACATGGCCTTTATTTAGTGTAAAATAAACATAGTCTGCCTTGCATATCAATGCATATACAAAATGGGCTCTTTCAGTCACCACTGCTGTTCACATTTTAGTGCCTATAGCAACATCACTGCTTTAGCGATCAGCTGCTTTAACACTTTTATTTGAGATTAGAGTGGAGTTTTATTTATATTGGTTGTAAGTTTGGGATTTTATTTTTTGTAAGTGGCTGCTGCCATTTGATATTTTGTTTCTAATGTCTGGTGTTTTGAAAGGAAATGATTACAGTATTTCCGAAATCCCTGAGGGCAGCAGTGAACATTTTAGCCCTCCCCCCCTCGCTCCTCTTCTTCCTCTCTCAAGACTTAAAAACTTGTCTTCAAACAAGCAATCGTGAACTTGCTGGACTGACTTGCTAAGATAATAAAACTGAGCATCATCTGCGTGCGTGATATATACCAGTGTGAATCAGCTGTATAGATGAACCCAGTTTGCACTCTGAAGTCTTACAATGCGTCCCTGGATGTATGTGCTCCCCTATCTCCACTGGTGTCTCTGTGCCATATAAGATAGTGATGATGTACACACATACAGTATAGGAGGATGCCAAGGTTATTTATTTATTGTTTATACGCAGATCAAACCTTCTGAAGACGACCGTTTTAGCCCGTCTGTATTTCTGGCCAACAGTCTGTTTTATGACACTTTATGCACAAATAAGTTTTTGTCAGTGCATTAAAATAACTAATGAATGTATTTAATGTATACATTTTGGCCAAAGTGTCATGTGTATAACTGAGTAATGTCTAGGCTGCTTAGAGGCCTTTTGATGAAAAGACATATTTTACATAAATCATAGATACATATATTTATTTTTCTTTAGGGCTTTGAAGAATTTGAACGATCATGCTCCTTTGACATGAACATGTCGCGTGTCCTGTTTGTGAAATCCACAGTGGTGAAGAGACTCGGTCTCACACTGAAGTAAATGCCCAGTTTGCAGTCAGAAGAGCACATTAGCTTTTGTTTTTGCTAGTTAGGTTTTTATGATAGATATTTTTAGAAATTCAGCATATCAGTTATTTTTCTCAATCAAAGTCACGTGTGATGCGTTGATCTCAGACAGTTCTGTCTCACTATGCCTCTTATGGATCAAACTCACAAACTCCATCTTGCATTTAATGTCATGAATCATTTTGTCAGAGACAGAGCGGTATTTTGTTTGCCGATGACTCTGAAGTGTGTTTCTGTGGCTGTGGTCCACCTGGAGGCAGCTGACAGTACGGAGCTGAATGGAGATCACTACTGTCCACCTGGCTGAGTGTCCTCTGACTGAACCCTGTGTTTCAATACAGAATAAACAGATTATTTTAAGGAGAACTGTGACATGTCCTCATTTACATGGCAGACTCTTTGTGTGTGTGTGTGTGTGCTCATTCTACCTTTGTGTGGACCAGTTATACCTTGAGTGTGAATGAGGACATTTTGTCTGGTCCTCATTAGGTTTAGGTTGTGGAAAGGGGTCAGAAGTTGCCTTAATGCTAGGACACATACCACGTCTTAAACAGCCTAGAGAATGTGAGGTCAGGCGCTGGTGCCACTCTTTTGCCAGCGTTAAAGTGTGAGGAGATAGGTTGCCCCTGATGTTGCTAAGCAACCATATCCAGGACTGTATCATAGGGTACTTATCCGCAATCCCAATTCCGAAGCTGATCGTCTTCACGATATTTTTAAAAAGTGTGTTGATGGCCTAAACTTTTGTCCATGGGACAGATGTAAAGCTCTGGGAAACCCTGCACTAAAATGATCAACTACTTCTTTATCAAAGAGTGATATTTATAAAAGAAAGGAAAAACATCGGGTGGCTGTGATTGACATGGTTTCGTTATTGGTGGTGATGGAGGTTCAGTTTTGGGGCCTTTTGTTTTTCATCCACTTCTCAGGATTTTTTGTTTTGTTTTGTTTTTTTTATCCTTCAGATACTTTTTTTTAAATTTCAGTTTTCTTTATTGACATGAACATTACCATTCACTATTGACATGATAAACAAATAAATAAATAAATTCATTATTTATTATAAATGAACACATGAATAATTAAATGTATGATGCTTTACCATTCAGGGCATGCATGTTTTTTTCCCTGCTACACTGTGATGATGTGATTGTGCTACTGACTGAAATTGTATTGACACATGGAGGTGATGACCTGAAGATGGTTTGCCATCCAGGGGATGCACCATATTGAAGAAACACTTTCTTCACTGGCCACAGCTTTCCACCTCTCTGCTAGATTTTTTTTTCAAATGTTTTTAGATTTCTTTTATTTCTAAGGACATCTCACATTAGTCAACATTTCTGTAAATGTGCCAGTGTCAGCCAGCTGGCTAATTTTCAACTGCAGTCCTTTGGCAAGATGTTTTGAAACCAATAAAAAGATAAAAAAAAGTCACAGGACAATTCACAGGACAAAAACAGCATAGAGACATAAAGATAGAATTAATTATAGCTGTGTGTGTGTCTTATGGAGGACAACTCAGGCCTATGTTCTAAACTTATAAGAGCTGTGAAGTGCAATGTACTTTCTGCAACCAACATGAAGCAATCGTTAAAGCAGGTGAAGTTAGCGGACAGTTAGGTTCGGATGACTGACGCTAAAAGCTTTAACGCAGGTTCCAATGACTGACAGTATAATGCTATGCGAGTGAGGGCAAGGCTCAGCAGGTTCCATAATGCGTTGGCCTGTAGTTAATGCGAGTTACCTGGCAATGTCGCGTATCCATGATCATGATCATTCCAGTGTGTGTGGGTGTGCGTATCCATGAGTAAGAATGTTCTTCCTCCTCTGCTGGTGAGAAGAGAGAATGTCACGCCCCCGAAATCCCGCGAGAGGGCAACAGGAGGGGACACACACACAAACACACAGACAGAGAAACCGTGCTTTTATAGAGGCATGTCTTTCAAAATATCAGTAAAAACTTTGTAGTATAGTATGTCGCCAAAATATCATTAAAAATGTCTTCGGATATTATGTCATCCAAATATCATAAAATAAAGTCACGGTGTAGTACGTCATCATTCATTGTTAGTTTGAGCGAGCTCTCCCCCCCGGGTCTGGCTTCAGGAGGAGGCCCCGGTGTCCCCATACAGGGCGAGGTACTCTGCTCACGAAAGGTCCGTTTCATCGAGGTCTTTGAATCGCTCTTAGTCTGGTCCCTCTGCCGGGACCACTTTGCCTTGGGAGACCCTACCAGGGCCTATTAGCCCCAGACAACACAGCTCCCAGGTTCACAGGGATACTCAAACCTCTCCACCACATTAAGGTGGCAATTCTCGGAGGAGCTGTATGTGTGTGTGTGTGTGTGTGTGTGTGTGTGTGTGTGTGTGTGTGTGAGTGTGCACGAACGCATGTTTACTTTGTGAAGAATTTGTTGGAATAACCTACTGCATGCATAAAGTATTTATATAAAGTTACTGTATGCTCGCATACCTGAGTGGTAGCCAAGGGTTACTTGTGCATCTGTTTGCTTTGGGTTGGCAGGCGGGTGGAGATTTTATGAGTCATACATACCCTCCTACAATACTTTAAATCTCGGGGGAGTAAAAGAAAAAAATAAAATTATATCTGGTTTCTGAGTTAATATGCTGAACAGAGATAATGTCTCTTGTACAGACCTCCACTTCGGGAAAGGCAAAGTTTCTTGTATTCTTATTCACTACTGAGAAGGAATATTATGACACTTGTAATTTTTACGTTGTAAAATGTCGATTTTGTTCACCGTGTAAGAGTTAGGAAGCGATCTGAAGCCATAATAATACTGGAGGGGAATAACTTGTAAAGTAAAGTACATTTTAGGCACTTGTAGTTTACTTGAGTACTTCCATTCCATTTTGTTCTTCTACTCCACTAATATTCAGAGGAATACTTTTTACTCCACTATATTTATTTGGTAGCAGTCACAAAATATAGCTTTTCAGATGTGAGTTGTTAGATATTGAACTCCCCTGTAATATATATAATACTTAAAAACAGCTACATGTTGACCAGTTTCAACAGTAAAATGCTTAATTATACATCAGTAATGATAATGCAGTAGTATAGTGTAACACTTATAGGGGCCATCTTCTGCACCTCAGTGACATTTTCAGTGCATGACCTTTACTTGTAATGGAGTATTATATAATATAATAACAGTTTTGCTACTCATTCTTAACTTTCTGATTACTTCCTCTACCACTGTGTAGAAGGGAAACTCGTTGCTTCCATAGCCGCTTCAATGCTGCTATTCCTGCTGAACACACACACACACACACAAATGCACAGTCTGTCTTTTGTTACAATGTGCCACACCTCTGCAGGGTCAATGGTTAATGTGCATCTTGTGCCTCCAAAGTAAATATGGTGATGCAGGCCTGGGTTCGGTACCCTGCTCTGCCCCTCCTTCATCAGTTGTATAAAACCAGGCCTCCAGCAGAGATCAATTCCTGACGAGTCCTTCCTGATTCATTCTGCCTGTCCATCTCACCGACTGCTGCCATGGCATTTGTCGCTCCTCCTGGCTATCAGCCAGTCTACAGCCCTGTGAGTATCTGCATTGACTGCTGCTGAGAAATGCATTGCACTCAAGGTATAATGATTTTGAGTCAGCAGCTTTACAAAATATATTAAGCTGACAGTTCAGACAAAAGAGTCCAGTCCAGGCCTGTGTCTGGGATTTCGAAACTATATTTTGTTCTTCAGAGGACTTGATACAGAATTATGTTGCACTCCAGACAACAATATGATATATATATATATTGAAGATGCGTGAAGCTGTCTCATTTATGATGTGCTTGTCCAGATTAATGAAACTATGAACATTCAAAGATTTTGTAGGCTTATTTATTGATTATGATTGTGGTTAGTGATTGTTGATGCCACCGTAGATGTTCAAGGTTTAATAACCGTTGTGGGATTCAGTGAGTTTATTTGTTGAAAACTGCAACATGAGTAAAACATTTTGTTACTATGAGTTTCAGTATGATGTTGCCAATTCAATACATTTGGTCCAGCCCTAGTATCTACTGGTTTATGATAGTTAACTAAAACTATACTAGAAAACTAAAACTAGGTGTGATTTTTTTTTAGTTAACTGAAAAAAAAATTAAAATTAGACTCTAATTAAAAAATACAGGCAACTCAAATTATATTGTGTACTCACAAAACTAAAATAATAAAAGAAAAATACAGAAAATGCCTTTGGTTTTAGTCTTTGTCTGTTTGTTAAAACTAGTAAAAAATAAATAAATAAATAAGCAAACTCAACATTTTTAAACAATAAAAACTTAAATGAGCAAACCCACCCTGGACCCTAACTGAAACCGAACTGAAAAGTAAAATTAAAAATGAAATCAAAATACAAATGATTGAAAAATACAAAACTACAGTAACTGGCACATATTATGGGGAAGGTAAAACCAAAAAGCGTACAGTATAGTGACTGTACTTTCTTTCCACCACTACATTCAAGTAGTAAATGGTGAAATCAAACTAATACTTAATTCATTTTTATAGCGACTCTAAATAAGATCCTCCAGAGTCAAACTTTGTGACTTACAGATTTACTGTTTAAAATGGGACTGACTGTTGGAGCCTGTGCGTGTTGTACAATGTGGTTGAGTATTTTTGGGCACTGCACAGAATATTCCATATCTGGGGCCCATTTATGGAGGCCTGAGGGAGGGGATGTCCATCTACATCCAGGGCTCCGTTCCAGAGGACATTACCAGGTGAGTATTACTCTGTAGCATGGTACACTTTCAGTGTGAAATTCATCTTTTATATTTAAAATAATAGTTTCACCAAAAAAGGTCCATTTGTACAAGTTTTATGTGCATGGGGTTTTTTTATTTTCATTTTTTAATCTCTAACCAAAACCTTTTGACATCATTTGGACACTGGGGGAACACCCTGTGTAATCTCACTCAGGGTGGAACTGGTTTCTCTGCATTGTGAGATATCAAAGCAGGCTTGTAACACACAGCTCCACTTTTATCACCAAACCCTCCCCTTGTCAAAATAGTAATATCTGAGGTACTCCTACAAGCCATTAACTGACAGAGTAAACACTGCACACACCTTACTCTATCTTAACATCGCTCTTTCTTTCTTTCTTTCTTTTTTTTTTACAAGATCCTCATTATTTTTATGGTCTGCCCCACCTGCACTGTTTGTATTTCTATCTCTAAACAAACTTATCACTCAGGATTCAGTGACAAAATGTCTCAGTGTCACCTGCTCCTTTTGGCAGGTTCTTTATCAACCTGCTCTGCGGAGAGTCCGAGTCCAGCGACATTGCCCTCCACTTCAACCCTCGATTTGATGGCTGGGACAAGGTTGTCTTCAACTCATGTCAGGATGGATCCTGGGGGTCTGAGGACAAGATTCGTGATATGCCTTTCAGTAAAGGCCAGGCTTTTGAAATGGTCATCATGATTTCTTCACAGGGTTACCAGGTAAGACCAACCAGAGGGCCACAAATGATTTCAAACCATTTTTATGGATAACACTTTACTTGAACACATTCATGGACCATATATGGTGTGGCACTCTCTGCTTAACATTTGACATTACTCTGTTTCAGATCAAAGTTAATGGGAATGACTTCTACACCTTCGAACACCGTGTCCCTGTGGAGAGAGTTTGTGCAATGCAGGTCGCAGGAGATGTTTCTGTTCAGACGATTAACATCATAGGGGTAAGACTTCCCGTACCTGAAGCTTTCAGGGTGATGCTTTGGGCTTTGCTGGGACAAATAAATTCAGCAGCATAATAAATCATGTGCAACCGATTTCCTATGCTCTCTGCTTCTGTGTCAGGGTGCTTCAGGTGGCATGAATAGGTATCCTGGAGGAACGGGAGTGAGTAAACAGTCTTTTATTCTGTATTTGTGCTTGCTTTGTTTTTCCTGGATTTAAATGGTTTTAAAACGTCTCCTGCTTCAAGCCTCAAAGCTGAAACCTCAATGTCCAATGAAAAACATGTCTTACAGCTCCTATTGCTAGGGGGGTAAAACGATAGTTACTATAGGTCAGTGGTTCTCAAACTTTTTCTCAAACAGCAAACTCTTTATTTTCCCTACATTAATCATATTCAGTTATATTTCATGGCATTTTCCCCTGGTCATTCACACCCTACCTGCAGTGGCTATGCTCCACAGTTTGAGAACCACTGCTGCAGGTGAATATCTGGTCATTAAATGGCCCTTTATCAGTGGTGATAAGCATCATAGATTTGGGTAGTAATGCCTACCACACCTACTAGTAGGTTAAGAGGGTCATTATCAGGCCATTCAAGTGAAACACCATGAAAGGACTGCCATGTGCAAGAAAGTTAATATATAGGGAGGGAAGGAGAGGTGATTGATGGGTCAAACACCAGACATTCACCCATGACACTGGGCTTTGAGTCCCATGTGAAACAAGGTATTCATGCCTAACTATTATCTTTTTCTTAACCCAACCTGTTAAGTTTCACAGAGAGAGGACCCAATTACACCAAGCAGGAAGATTTAAGGAACAAATGGAGATTTATTGAAGTAAATCTAATAACAAAAGACAAAAACAGGCTGGCATCGAAACTGAGAGTTGTCTGAGGTAAATTAAAGTACAAAGAAAAACACAAAAGCTCAACAGAGGACCAACCAGTAATGGATTTAGGAACACAGGAAGAGAATCCAATAACGACAATAAACATTGTTTAAAGTGCTACCAAAAATAGCACCAGTACCAGTAGTGGTACTGGCAGTAGTGGTATTAGCACCAGTACGTCTGTGCTTGTGCGTGTGTGCCATTTTTTTCCTGGTAGGCATCACCTGATATGTTAAACAATGAGTGCTTTTTACAGCTCTGTCTGTACGTAATGTTTGTGTGTTCAGTTTTACACTTTTGTTTGGTCTTTTTAGGGTGGAATGGGAGGAGGAATGGGAGGCGGTATGGGAGGTGGTATGGGAGGAGGCATGGGAGTAAGTATACCTAATTTGGGTGCAGAAAATGAATTCAACACAGCATTGTACAGGATTCAACATGTTCACAACTTTTTAACAGGGAGGATATCCAGGAGGTTGCATGGGGGTATGCTATTTTTTTTTTTTTTTACCTTTGAAGGCAGTTTCCTTTAAATATTACTGAAAATGTAGTGAAATTAAATGAGAATATTTCTACTTGCCCTTGCTTCTTCTAACTGATACACAGGGAGGATATCCAGGTGGCATGGGAGGAGGCATGGAAGGAGGCATGGGAGGAGGCATGGGAGGAGGAATGGGAGTAAGCATACTTCCTTTGTTCACTACAGGATGGTAGTAATTTCTTAAAGTGTGAAAATGAAATAACATACATCATTAAACATGATTTAATGTGCCCACCACTGTCCAACAGGGAGGATATCCCGGAGGCGGCATGGGGGTAGACAAATACTTCTATTTCTGCTCTTCACCAGTGCTCACATTTCAAATTTATATATTTTGTTATATTATGTCAAAAATACAACTAATTCACAATAAAAAAAAAACACAGAACAAAATGACATGAAATTGTCCTTTTTAATTAAAATACGTGTTTCTTCACAGGGTGGATATCCAGGAGGCATGGGAGGTGGTATGGGGGTATGAAACAATATCATGATTACTGATTTTGTTTTGCTTTTGTATTCTTTACACATTGTGTTGATTTATACTAAAATATGCCAAGCCAATTTGTCATGTGTAAGCTAAACAACAGTTTGTATCTAAACAATAGATTGTGTTCAGTGGACTGACTTTATTTTTTCTTCTGTCAGGGAGGATTTCCAGGATCAAACCTGCCGGTGAGAATACTGCATAATTACACATTCATAAAGCCCTCTGTATGATTTTTTTCTGACCACTGTTAATCCAATTTAAATCTTGTATCTGTTAATGTCATTATAGGGCATGGGTGGGCAGCCAGTCTACAACCCTGTAAGTAAAATTAGCAATTCAGGCTCATGCAGGCCAGTAGTGTTGCAGTAGAGTTCTGGATTTATTGTCATGTAACCTGTCTTATTTTGTTTTTGCTGTGTGTTTTAAGCCTGTGCCTTACTCCAACATGATCCCAGGAGGGATGTACCCTAAGAGGACCATCATCATCAGAGGCATTGTACCCTATGGAGCAGACAGGTGTGTGTTTATTAGTGCACATACACTGAAATCACTGTAGTGTGAGTGCTAATAGACACTTCCTGGGTCTGTGTGTTGCAGAATGAGCATCAACTTCATGGTGAGCAGATCTCGGGACGTCGCCTTCCACATGAACCCCAGGGTGAGGGAGGGGATTGTGGTGAGGAACAGCATGATTGGAGGCGACTGGGGCCAGGAGGACAGAGAGCTCAGCATGAACCCCTTCATGGAGGGACAGTACTTCGATGTAGGTCTTTATATTTGGTCCCATGTGGTCTACTTTTCTATTATTATTTTGACTCACCGTGGGTCAGCTGTGTCTTAATTTTTCCTTTTCTTTTATGTTTCTCAGATGTCGATTCGCTGCGGGAACCAGAGGTTCAAGGTGTTTGTGAACGGGCAGCACTTGTTTGACTTCTTCCACCGCCTGCAGTCCTTCAATGAGATTGACTTGCTGGAGATAGAGGGCGACGTGCAGATCTCCTACATCCACTTCTGAGACTATGCACCTGTTGTAGTTATTCTCTAATTGGGGCTACATTTCACATTAAAAAAGCACAAATGTAATGTGCTTTCTCATAAAAGCAATCAGTGATTTATGGTTAAAAATATCCACTAACTGCAGAGCTTCAACATTAGCAACCTTTTTGACATTTTAAAGGAAAAGCATATTTTTGCTAGTTGCCCGTAGGGTCACGTCAACTATGTTACTCATGAGTTGGCCCATACTGGTTGACTAAGTTGACAGCAGACAATTTAACAATTTTAGCCCCTAATTTCAATGGTAGGCCTAGCATGGCTGACAACATGCTGTTGTCTTTAGCAGGTTAATACCAAATTTCAACATACATTTGAATTAGAAACATAAAAGATCTGTGAACCATAAAATGTACGCAACATAGTTGACGGTCAATTAATACAGTCCTACACAATGCACTGTTACTGACAAAATATTTAAAAATATGAAAGGACACACACCATTTTCAAGATGGCCGCCACTGAGAAAGATGACATCCTGTGATGCTGGTCACATGGATTTGGAACAAGCCATTTCTTAGGTTTTTTTTTTTTTTTTTTTTGTATTTGATTTAAATATGAAACTCAATATAAGAACTTGTTTTTCTAAAGTGTTTAGAGCTTTTAAATAACAGATAATGCTAACTAATAGTTTTTAATTATTTTGATGTCAAGACCCACTCAACTGAAAAAATGGAAATTGCAAAAACTGTTGATGTGTGCAACATTGTGCATAAAATGTTTGATTTTATAATAGGCTTCCCTTAATTGGTAAGAAAATAGTTTTTAAAAATATTATCTTTAATAGACATGAAATGTACCCCCAGTTTTAGAATCACTCAAAAAAGTTGTACATTTTCATTGATTGTGTGTGTCATGTCAGCTGTTATTTGATCTTTCAGAGTATATGTCCTTACCTCAGGTCCTTAAACTTCCAGCTGTGTATTGCAGATCTTGATTAAGACAAAGGTGACCTCATCATCGGCTGTATTGTTGAGTTAATAAATGTAAGTAACACGTATGATATAGATGAGATAAACGTTGACTACAACAAAGCTCATTCATGATGAACATATTTATTTCTTATACAAAATACTGTAGGTACTGTATAAAACTTTGTTTACAAATCATGACAGTGACAATATAAAGGCAACTATAGTACAGTCTTCTCCCAATTCAACACACCAGGAGAATCACAATCCACACACACACATTGATGCAAAAATACTGGCTCTCTGAAGGCACTGAAGGTAAAGTTTTAAGGCTGAACCGATTTTGTTCATTAAGGAGTAATTTGTTTTTGCTGGAATCTCCTTGGAGCATTACTTTAACTTTTTTACTAAATGAAAGGATTAATGAACGGGTTTACCAGATACAGGCCCAGGGGCCAAAAGTGTCAGGGCCCCTCCCCTGGCCTTCACCTGCAAAATGTTACTCAAATGAACATGTGCTGACCCGGAGGAGACTCACAATGACCACAAAGAAACATAAAATGACTACATGGAGACAAAAGAAGGCCAAAAAGAAAAACAAAAAGGCTACAAAGAGATGCAAAACAGCTGCAAATAGACACAAAAAGACAATGACTATGAAAATGGTCAAAACAGCCACAAAGATACTCAAAGTAACTATCAAGAGATGCAAAGCAACTTCAAGAACACTCAAAATGACCACAAAGTAACAATTAACTACAAAGAGACATAAAATTACCACAAAGCGGTACAAAATCACAGAGATTGTAACGACTACAAAAACACACAAAACTACAACAAAAAGGGGCTAAACAACTGTAAAGCTCTATGTAGGAGAGGTGGTGAGGCCTTCTGCGTGTCTGTGCCCAGGAGCCCGTTTTCTCATAATCCGCCCATGCTAAACACCTCAATGTTTCAAACACAGTGGCTGGTGTAACACTGTGGGTATATCTGCTTTCAAACTGGTGAAATCTTGATACAGACCAAACAAGACCAGTGCCTCAGTCTTAGCACCACTCTGTAGGACTATAACTCAATGACTATTCAGTACCAAAGGTATAACAAGAAAAGTACATTTCATCTAAACAAGGAATTTCAGTAATGCTACAGGTATAAAATATCACTGTATACTGTTTCATATAGTACCTTTGATGTATACATCTGAGAAACACAGCGCCTCATTGAAACAATAGCTCTCCCAAAATGTGTGTTGGAATATGGTCCATTCCAATGACAAAAGTATAAACTAAAGCAAATATATATATATAGTGTGGATATATATAAAAATAAGTGCATGCACAATGCAAAGTTGCAGCTAGTGAGCCTCAAAGCACACTTGCTGCTGCTTTCTGTCTCCTCCTCCTCCTCAACTCTGCTGGTACCAGAATTCTATTTACAGTGCTAAACCTCGAGAAACAAAAATACCGCAGAATAAAAGAGCGCCAGGATGATGTCAGATGATGAGGTTAGTCATGTTTCCCAGTCTCCCAGTCTTTGCTCATTTATGGAAAGCACTCCACTGAATGGAGTTAAAGAAGTATTTCACTGATGGAATGATGGTCTTGGTCTATAAACCTGGGCTGTTTATGCAGTAAAAAAACGCAAAAAGGGCTGTGGCATTTGCTTCTGCGAAAGAGGTAGAAAACCTACAATTACCAGAATGCACTTTGCCACATTGAACCAATAAACACTCCCAAAAGGTGGGTGATGTAATGCGAGCTTTTCCATTTTCCCACAGGAAACAGCTGGCTGGTAACAAACAGTCTCAAATTACAGATAAACAGTGCACTAAAACATGTTTCTGGAGACATTTAAGGTGAGAAATATGAGATATTGTAACAGAATATTGATTCATATTTTGTCAGCACTGCTCAGTTTTATCATTTGATCAGTTTGGACTGAGTTTGAGAGAGGCCAGTCTCTCTCTCCCAATCTGCTTCTATACTCTCTGTGTCCGGGCATACAAAAATGCGGAAGTACAATCTGTAGTTCAAGCAACAGCCCTAGAACCACAAAAAATTGAGCTGAGAGATGAGCAAGGAGATCTGTGCACTGGTAAGATGAGAACATTTACCACAGTTCATTTATACATGCTACCCACATTGTTATGATACAAAGCTGTTTAAAAATGGGCACATTATCCCTTTAAATGTGTTCACAGGCTTTGTTCTCTGCCTTTATGAATATGCAAGTTGTTACATGTGAACTAATTTCATGAGAGGCGTCTGCAGGAAGACTGTCCAGAAAGTCATTAACACAAAAAAGGCGTAAAAGATATACAAATTATCAACAAACATACAATGATATAAAAACATTAGTGCAAAGTTGTAGAAATACAAAAATCAGCATTTTAAAAAAAAGACAAAATAAGTAATAACACTGTGCTTGAGCCAAATGCAAAGGTGAGGAGCTTATCCCGCCATTTGCCTTGGGTAACTCCATTATGTCCGTACCGAGCCTCAGTCCATCCACCTGCCTCTGATTATCTGTACCCTCTTGATTTGACCAGTACCTCTGCCACTGCTGAGCAAACTCTCAGGTTCCTGAGTTGTGACAAAGATGTATGGAGTAGTTGAATTAGGACTTTCACATGTTACCTTGTGTGGACGGTACATGGCTCATGGTGCTTCATGCACACCTAGCAGTATGACCCCTGGAGAGGAAGCAGGGGTTGTTAGAGCGCTACATTAGGCTATCATACAAACTCCTGTGGGTTTTGATCAATAAGATGGAGGATCCTCATTCAAAACAGCCTCACACAAAAGTCTCTAAAGCCTGAAGTGGAATTTATTTTCTCAGCAAATTTGGTCTCTTTATATTGTTTAAATGTATTACTTATTTTTAAAAATGATATTTCATTTATATTCTGTTGCTGTCGGGTAAAAGTCTGAACTTTAGGTATGGTGAACTTTAGCTGAAGGATTATGACATCTGTAAAAAAAAAAAAAAAATGCAGCTTGAAGTTGAAAAATTATGGTGCTCAATGTTAAAAAAAAAAGCAGCCCAACAGCGACACCGCTGGGGATTTTAGCCCTAAACTCATCTTATTGTCCTTCATAAACTGTATCAAAGCAGCCAGTCATCTTCATCAGATGACACCTTCAGTGACAGAGACACTGTTGCTGCTTCCTTTCTTCCCTACCAGTCCTTGACTTATTTTTGCTCAGTTACACAGGAGCATGGATTCAGATGGGTGAGGTTTCTCCATCAGAGGAACACTTTCCTCAGCTGGTGCGAGTCCTCCATCTTAGCCCTTACTCACAAGTTCGAGCTCCTGAGTTTGTTTGGTTGTAGATTCAGCCTGGCAGTGTCTGAACTGGTTTCACAGAGATTTTCTAGCTTAATCGTGTGAAGGAGATCAATCTGTTGTATGCAGGTAGTTGTGCAGGTATGGTATTTTATTGCTATAGTGACTAGGAATTAATTTCTCTGATTGTGCTGCAGTGTACGTGTCCTTTAAACTTGTTCACCCACCATCCATAATTGTGTTTGTCCTGCTACACTTGTGCTTACAAATGTGCTAATTTCAGAGGGTTTACAAAGGAGATAATCCTAGTCCTTCATCTCCTTGGAATGTCTTCGGCTGTGTGTGTAGTTGTGCAAAATATGAATGTAGGGGCACGTTAGGTTTCTTACAGTCAGTAGCAAGAGGCTGGATCTCGTTCATGGACTGGGGTTAAAAGGTAGCACGCTTTGGCAGTGACGAGTCTTGTCATTTTTAAGAGTGAAGCCATCACTGCCAGGGCATTTTCCTGGACCCTTCCCTGTCCTCCAGCAGCTCGACAGTTGGGGTGGGAGCTGGGGTGGGGTTGGGAGTGGAGTGGCAGGAGGGCTGTATAGGCAGCGTGGCTGTGGAGGATGACACTGGCATGTCCAGGCTCTCCAAGGACTCAGAGAGGGCTCGGTTGGTCTCGTGTTGGGGACAGAGGACGTAGCGGTTGGGGTGGTGGACCTCCACTGTGGTCACAGAGTCTAGGCCCTTCAGGCAGAGAGGGGCCGGTCCCCCAATGGGGTCACGGCCACCAACGGCCCCTAGCTCCATGGAAGACTCGTCCATGTTGACGTACAAGATCTCATCTGGGTCCTGGGTGTCTGGAAGATCCTCAAGGGCTTTTTCCAGCTCGCAGCGCAGGGACTCAAATGACGGGCGATCCTTCGGGCTCAGCAGCCAGCAGGAGAACATCAGGGCGTAGCTGGAGAGGAAGAAGAAATAATCATTGTATTTAATGTAGAATTCAAATGGAATATGATATAAAAAGTATATATAGTAATCGTAGTAGTATATAATAGTATATAAGTAAGTATTTAGTAGTAGGTCTCTTCTCCAAAACAAATGGAGATTGGTGATTTAAACCAGTGAAAACACTGAATAAATTTCATGTTCATTTTTTTTTTCTAACACTGCTCATTGCGGAGAGGCTGCAAATTATAGTAGCTAACGTGAAAACGCAAATGGCCCTATCTAGAATCAGTTTTTGGTTTGTCTGTTTCAGACAGAGGGTTAGCTTACCTAGAAAGCCTTTGTTTCCCCCCAAAAAAAATTCCAGATAATAAATTAATATTTATTACTATGCTGTTATAAACATGGTATATACATATCTTAAACCGGATGTTTCCATGAAATTCCTTTTACCTATTCTATCTCCACCACTTCAATCTTTTCATGGTTCTACAACTAAATTGGTCAGAAGTGGCAGAAGTGTTGTCTTGGAAAATTTTCCTATGATTAGCAGCAAATAATAAATTCCTTTTTCCTGGAATTTCCTTGGATATTATCTGGAAATTGTGAAACTTATAAAATGATGTTACCTGAAAATCATACAAAAGCATGCTTTCAAATTACTGTTAAACAAGTTAGACTGAAACTAATTACTAACTAATGAAACTTCATATCATTAAAATATCAGTCCTACACTTATTACTAAGGAAGGGGCAAGCAGATCTGTTTTTAGCCTCTAGCCTCTAACCATAAAGCAATCATTATGGGAAAAAAGGTACTTCTAATCAGGATGCGAAAGATTCCCAAAGTACTTCATCATCAGCTGAGTGTGTTTAGTGAGGAATGTGAAGAAGCCGGCACTCACATGCT